TTGTGATTCTTGGTAGCTCTAAGTGAAGCATTTTAACTTGTGGTGTTCCCAGGCTTTGACAATTTGCTAGCTCCGCCGCTAGGAAAAGGAGGAGGTCGATTAAATAGAAATGCATGCACGTAAGGTTGGCATGAAACTACTGGTGTGAGCTGTGGATGCTAGCAGCGAACAGCAAGGAGCCAAGGACCATTAGAGCTCTGTCTCGCTAACAACAGCTGGGGATGAGATGGCCTCGTTCCTTTGAGGCTTTGAGCACGCACGTACGGCTGGCTATCTACTGCCTGCGCTGTACATATTAGCTCCTGCCTCCATTGGCAATTTGGCCTCACGACGTTCACAGCTGTTCTTTCACGTGCATAAAGACGGCTTGTAATCTGTGAACTCCTACAACTATATACAGATCGACCCATCGAACAATGGCCAGATCCGGAAACAGTGATCAATGGGGTAATCCCGGTCATAGAATAGTAATCCCTCCAATTCGAATTAATTGGCGTAACCTCTATACAACATAAAATATACATTGTATAAAAGTTACGTCAATTAATTTGGATCATAGGGAGTACCACTTTTGTATATCATGCCGTGTTACCGACAATCAGAACAAGGAAGAGCAACCGATTTCAAGGAATGCAAAAACTTCATGTCATATTGTCGGATTATTTTTCCCTCGAAAGGGGATTACCCGGCCTCTGCATCACAAGATGTACACATCCATATATTAAGGATAAAGGGGTGTTTGGTTGCAAAAGACTAGACTCTTTTTAGTCCTAGGGACTAAAGAAAAAAGACCCACCAATAAAGTCTTTTTCTAGTCTCTTAAAAAAAGTCCCTTCTATTTGGTTACATAGGGACTAAAAGAGATATTTTCTAATCTAATCCATGTAACCAAACAGGGCCTAAATCCCTTCAATGCATGCAGAAACTTGATGTTGATCGACCAATCTAAAAACAAATACGTAGCGAACCAACCTGTGGTTGGATGATTAGAGGGACTGTGGTATCTCCAGCCCATCGGAGTTAAAATTCTGGTGCACGCATTTATTCCTGTAATTATTTCAGGATTTCCGGCGATGCACATTCAGTGGAAGGTGACGTTCCCGTCGACGACGAGGTGCCTACAGTGACTTCGTAAATTTCAAAATGATATGCCGGCTCAGTCTTTCGAAGGTGCTCATAGGGGTAGGGTGTGTGTGCGCGCGTTTATAGAGGTGAATGTATGCGTGTATATGAGCGCTTGCATTTGTATTGAGTTAAAAAAACAAATACGTTCGTAAAGTAAAAACAAAAGACGTGCATAAGCGAAGCCTTGTTGGTGCGGGCGAAAAGAACCATGCAGCCGAGCCATGCGTGCGTGCGCCGATCGTCGTCCCCTGCAACGCTAGTGCTGGATCGTCTGGGAATATGCCTTTCTTGTGATAGCAACGTACCTCTCCCTCGTTCTTTTTCCCTTTCGATGGAAGGCTTGCTAGCTGCCCGAGTCGGACGCATGCAGTTGTTGGGAGGGCGGAAAGCTACAAGTGGGCAATGCAATGCCTGCATGCCGTAGCGTTGATTGTTGGCTTGCAAGCGACGGCACGCAGATGCGCATCATATTGCTGTCGCCGGGCTAGCTAGCTATCGCTGTGTTATACCTAGATTAGTAGATGGATGGATCAATTGGTTGGCTTAATTAGCCCACTCGTGTGAGTCTGTGAGAGAGGCACGCGGTTGTTGGTTAATGGTCACAGGACTGTGTGAGCCACATATGTTCGTTGGTTGGCCGATGAAATGTTGGGTGGTGGGACTGTGATCGATCGGTCATCGGTGTTTGCTGGCTCAATTCAAGTGAGGTCCACGGCCTCCTGTTGAACTGGACTACTAGCTAGGTTCGGCACGTTTCGCCCAACCAGCTTGGATACGTGTGTATACATGTGACTGACTAGCCTCAACCTCATGTTCTTGGAGCATTAAGTGGTGGTACGTGCACAAGTGGTGTATGAGAACAGGACAGGTCAACTAGAACATTAGAGCGCAAAAACACAAAATGCATCAAAATTGGTTCTAGGACCAGAGAACCCAACCAAAATGACAACACGAGGCCTGAGATCCCCTTTCCTCTCGGTGTTAGATTCGATTGCACCATCAATTGTGCAATTTTAAGGAATGTGCTATATATGTTCACTCTCAAGTTTAATTGTCATACCTACTCCGGTTTAGACCATTTTTGCGGACCACACTAGCCCGACTGTTGTAGTCCACTCCAGACAATGGAATTTTCAAATTCCCTTTATATTGTGAGAGTCCAATTAAGTTTTTATGAAAATGTATTTTTTTCCCCAACCACGGGATCATTTTAGGACATGATGGCACCATGTTGGACAGAGGCCCACCATGAGTTCCAGTGGGTGGTCTAGGTGGGACAAGCCTTACCCAAATTTTCGGAAAATTTGCAGATAGTAGATCTTCGGACTAAAAGCCCTCGCCATTGGTGTCAAGCTTATTCTTGTACAGGAAATGTTAAATATGCCAAGTTGCCCCATCTATTAAAAAGACCGTGTATCCTCTACTGCTACTGACGGGTTCTCATGTCTCAGTTTACAATGCTGACATTGGCACTATCATGTGTGCATTTTTGTTGTTGAATTTGATGTAGTTTCTCCATAATATGTTTCCTTGATAAACCTATGTTCTTTTCCATATTAGCTTTCTTAGATTTGCGAGTCCTACAAGTCTAATGCAAGTGCAGTATGTGTCAGTGGTTTTCATTTTCCACGAAAGGAAGGAGTGAAAGTGAAGGTTTGAAGTAGACAGAAGCCATGGGGCAAGGCAACAACAAGAGAATAAAAATGATGAGTGAGCATGTAAGTAAAAACTGGCCGCCTGGATAATCAGAACATAACACACATGACAACCGAGAGGCCAAAGGGCCAAACCAGGGAACGTTGGCAGAGACAGAGGGGACCAGCAACCCCCACCACACCTAATGTCACCTATTTAAGCCTAGCATTAATGTGAACAACGATTTTTTTTCTTTTTTTTTTTTGCTAAAATGATGCATTTTCATGGAATGGCCCTCCCCAACAAGACTTAAGAACACTCGGCCCTCCTTGTCCCATTTTCCTGGCTCCGCCACTGACAGGGAAGGTTGGTCATGTCCCTTGTCAAAGAAGCCACGGCTAAAGTGTTTGGTAGGTTTTTCTCTCTCTCTCTTTCAGATGTTCCACACAAATGTGTAGATAGCAATGCGGTTGAAGAAATGTTACGATCATGTGGGTGCTACACCATCTAAAACTAGAAAGATTTAGGAGAGGATGGTCTTCTACACCGATTTTGTGAGGTGTATAGCATGTCAAAACCGAATGGTTTGGACCCAAGGAGTGTCTCCCGGGCTCTAATCTTACTTTGGAGGTTAAAATAATTTGAAATTCCTATAATAAAGTGGCCAGGATAATTTGAAAATGCAACGCAAAGATACTAAATAATTAAACAATGTGAATAACACGTTGTCACCTCCTCGAAAAAAGCAGCAACACATTGTGATCAATTCCTAAACACGCTTCTCTTCTCGGTTTTTGTCCTCTACATGTTCCACTCGAACCCGTCCTACACAACCAACGGACATGTACATGAGCATTCACACATGCATTTCACGCGATAGATATAAACGAGAAAAAAAAGAGCAATATGGTACAACAGAATTCACGGGAAACAGCAATATGGTACAAGATGGGTTCAACGCCCTGTGACCAAGTCTTGGTTTTTTTAGATGGTGTGATCAAGACTGTTAGCACAATTGCAACCGACAAGCTAATAGCTAGTCGTCTTCCACTCACCAACAACCACCAGCAGAAAAAGAAGCAACGCCCATCATGTCTCATTTTGCACGTGCATTCCCATGGAAGATCTCTGCGTGCCCAAAGTTCGTATCAACTCGTGAGAAAAATACTGGGCACGCCTCACTCGCAGCTGAGAGATCTTGGGCGTATCATATTTCATCCGGGTCCCACTGCCCTGCGGGCCCGGCAGCAGGATATCGGAGAATTTCCTTTCAAGGCAAGAAGGAAGACCGCCGAGCTTTAGAAGGAAAGGGCATGGGTCGAAAAGCCGTCGCCTTGTATGAGCATATATCATTACCTTGAAAATGGATAATATGTGTGTATGGACCTACGCCCGAATCCGTAAAGGACGTGGATACGGACGCAGTGGAGATTGGGTCATCATGGCTACAGATCTTGGCGTGTGTGCGATGAGATCTTGTCGTGACCGGCCGTGATGCGCCATGGCATGAAGTCTCGTCTCATTGCTGGTACCGTGGTACGTCGTCGTAGTGATCCATGCACCTTTGATGAGAGATTCCCGTCTAACATACGCGGTGTGCACGTATATCTAACTTTGTTCCGCTAATGACTCCGTCCCATTATATCAAATTACGCTTCGGAACTGATTAATGATTGAAATGGTAGAACCTGCCACCAGCATATCGTTGCCAGGATTCAGGCTTGCCCGGTACTGTTATAGACAAGTTATTTGTTGTCCAAGTTTTGCCGAAATTTATGAAAGGGTAACCAGAGTTCAATGACGGCTTCTCTATGTTTGGACAAGTAAGTCGATGGCGAAGACAACCAGCAGCCAGATTTGTCGAGATATGAATACCTCTCATGTTCTAACTACGACTTTGATCAGACTAAGAACATTCAGTCGAACACCATCAGATGTTTACAGGCGAGCATCTTCGCATAGTCTCGGCTAACCTGGCTGTAAGAGGTTGAGTGATATTTTTGCGTTCTGGTACACAGTACCAGAACATTTATGTAAAGATGGTACTACTCCGATGGCTGATTATCAGTAACCGACGTCATTTTCATCTCGCAACTGTCTTCAGGCTTGCAGGAGTTTCCGACTGGTAGACAGCACAGCAAAAAAGAGTAAGAATTGACCTGTCATCCAAACTTACACTATGATGACTATGTCATGGACAAAATGTAGGTTTACCTAGCTTGATGAGGACCAACCACAACTTAGGCATTCTTCTTGCCATCCGAACGCGACAGCGGGATGTCTCCTGACTGCAGCTGGTCATGGAGATGCTTGTTGTCCTCCAGCAGGCGGTCATATTTGCGCGCAAGACCTTCAGACTGCGTCTGGGCAGCTAGTGCTTTGGCCTCTGCATCCTTGGCCTCCTCCGCCTTTTCTTTCAGTTGCCGCTTCAGCTTCTTGATCTCCTCGTTCAGCGAAGCAATGTCGTTGTGGTGTGGCTTGCTCTCGTCGGACCTTCCAGATTTTGCTTCTTCTAAGGTCTTGTTCTGCTTCGACACAGCCTCCAGGTTCTTCTTCAGCCCTCGCATCTCTCTGATGTAGCTGTGTAGCCGGTCAATGACGAGAGCAAGGAATAAAATATATCCTGAAACAAGTAAGAAGTGGGTTACTACTGTGTGACTCGGATCAAAATGTAGATTCGACTCGACTTAGAACCAGACACGGACTAAACTCTCTCCAACAAAACAATATATCACATTATAAATGATATTTTTATCACGAAACTACCAATGGCTAAACAAAACACTAATGTGCTAAAGACCTCAAGTGGAACAGCATTCTGAGAAAATCCCTGAATTTGGACACTAAAATCCACATGAACATAAAAAGATGTTACTCTGTAATTTAATACAAGAATGTCATATGCATCCAGAAACATGCTGCTGTGTTACATCAAACCAAGATGAATCACAAAGAGGGAAGTCAAGAGAAATCCCTTTTTGAGGATTAAAAATTATGGATAATTTTTCTGAAGCAACCGATCCACTGGCTTACTTGGCTGTTGACAGAATATAAAAGTCTATTTTCACTGTAAGAAACCTCAAAAGATTGAAAAGAATGAAATACTTGTTCAAAAATAATAAAGAAAAATAATATAACAAACATAAGATCAACCACATAAAAGTTGGGCCATAACAAGGTGTTTTGGCAACGCCACAGGCAACAAAAGATAACATCACAAATATAGCCCCGGCCCAGCCCAAGTACAGCAGAGAGATGTGCAATGTTTGGCCCAAAAAATACCGAATCCTGGAGAGAGCACACTCTGGCCCAGTTCAGCCCACTGATCCTGGCCCGCCCCCTGGACTGGACTACACTCTTTTTTTAGCGGGGACTACACTCTCACTATTAAAAGAATGAAAAAGAGGACAACTGAGCAATAACCCAGGATCGCAGTAGCAGATTCCTGCTGATCAGGATTCAACTCCTGTCAGCATCAGAATTCTGGTATCTCACCTGGTCGCTTCTACTGTATGTAGAAGGTTTTAATATGATAAAAGAGCAAATCCTCCCCATGTTTTTATCTTGAACAACCTACTTATTGAAAAATGTTATTGTAATGTTTTTACGACTTCTTAAATGTACACAAGTTTGTTAGTTTCAGGACTAAATAGCTAATGAAGGCAAAAAATTGGAATTGCAAAAACTAATAGAGAAACTGACAATAAATGCTTGAATAGGAGTGATCAAGATCCCACTCCACCAATGAACTGTCCCGGAGCAAACACAAATATCAGATACAGGACAAGTATAAGAGGAAAGTCATCCTATAAAACTTCAACTTAATGATGTTGAGGTCCGTGTCTCCTAGATATAACTTCAGTGGTTGGGTGTTGCATGATCTAATCAACTCACGTCTGAATCTTTAAGAATCATAGTACGAATTAGGCCGGTCAAATTAGCCCCCCAACTCTAGGGACCCCATCATCCAAATAATGAGATGGGTGTACCAGAACAGAACAACTTTCAAGAGCAAAGCGAAAGCTGTGTCATTCATCACCTCTGGCAAAAGATCAAGTCACTTGGAACAAGAAGAATAGTTGATGAAAGTAAATCAAATAATGTGAATTTTTTCCAAGGATTTAATATATGAAAAAGGCAAAGCACCCAAAAAAACCAAAATAGCATAAATGTCAATACATCAGGTATAATAGATGCCATAATTTGTTTTTGCATTTGCTATCAGGGTAATCACAAAAGATTTCAGGCCAAACTGAACACTGCATAAAAATCACAGGTTGTATGAGAACGCTCCTAAATATACCCATAAAATAGTATGGATATAGCACAAACAGCAAATAGTATGCATATAACACAAACGGCCTGAGCAGCATAAGCTTTGTCCTATGTACGATCCTACTTCCTAAACAGAATCATCAATGGCTTATTAAACAAGGGTATGATAAGAAATATTATCACAGCTGATAAGTTGCCTCACTTTCTTGAATACTTAGGCCATACAAAGTTCCCAGTACATCTTAACAAGTCAGAGCATAGTAGTTTGAGAAGTGGAACAAAATAATTTTGTAAATATGACATTGGTTTCAAGACCACCGAGTGAATTTATGAATACTATAATGTCTAGTACATAAATTTTAGCAGAGAAATAAGACAGTTAACTTGAAAGGGGCGCAAATGGCGAACCCCAAAAGGTTACCCCATCTGAGTAAAAGACACCCTGCATTCCTACTTCTAATTATGCAATGAACAATTTTACTGCAGACACTATATCTATAACTCAATTGAACAGTAATCAGAAAATTATATTACAGGAGCATTAAGTAAATATAATGGGTTTTACTCTATAACATTAGACTACAGATACTGAGCATAAAGTAAGGTACTATGAGGAAATCTTTTGCTCCATCATTAAATCGTACTACTAAGATTACACCGGAATCTTAGACAAATGCAGCTAATAAATTAGTACTTATTAACCTTTCCATAGCATGATTGAACAACTCATCTTCAGACTAAAATCAACGGAACGTTGCGATGCGCTAGAGCGAAATCAAGCCATACGTGCTCGTCTAAATTCAAGAAACCGGGGACATCTGGACGATCGACCGAATCAAAGCGAGGAAAATAGACAAGAAGAGGGGACCGGTCGGTCCCGTAGGCAGGCACACGTACCCATGAGGGAGGCCTCGAGGAGGTGGCGGGCGAGGAGGACCTGGTCGGTGGGGCTGAGCGCGCCGGGCGCGTCGAGCTCGCCGGCGCCGGCGTGGCCGTGGATCTTGGCCATGCTGTGGAGGCTGGAGGCGAGGACGACGAGGACGGTGGCGGCGACGGTGCGCACCATGACGGGGGCCCGGCCGCGCTTGAGGCGGTCGAGCGCGAGCATCGCCAGCTTCCGCAGCGGCGTCTTGAAGAGCAGGACGGCCGCCACGCCCGCCTCCGCGCCCAGCAAGGTGAAGAGGAGCTGGATCATCGCGGCCGGGCAGGCAGGCGGGCGGGCGGGCGGTTGCGGCGTGCAGGGGTTCGGGCCGGGGTGGTGGGATGCGGTACGGGGGCCGCTCCTCACTTTCTCTCTGCGCCTTTTGTATCGCGAGGAGGGTGCGGTGCTTTTCCTCGCCTCGGGGGTGGGTTTTGGAATTTGGAATTTGGAACACCGGAGGCGCAAGGGGAGAAGGATAGAGTCCTTTGCTATGGTCACGGACGCCGTGTTGGAAGGGTTTTGGCACCTACGCGGCTTGCTTGGACCGTTTGCTCCATCTTTTGACATTATTAGTGTATATAGTGTGTGACATCATCTTTTCTTGCCCACGGTCCATCCATGTGTGCTATCACATTTTCCGCGTCTCACAAAAGCCAAAATTGTAGTGGGATTTTATTTGGCACCCCCAAGGATTTTTCATGTAAAGATGACTTTATTCCTTGTTTGCTGATTCCAGAGAATTTTGTCTTTTTTTTCTTCTTCTCATTCACATCTTGGTTTTACTCCTTCAATTTCGATGGTGCTATTAGTTTGCCTGGTTCATTCTATATTCCTGTGATAATGGTAGATCTTATTTTCTTGCCGAATTAAGGCGGTTGCAGCCCAACGCAAAGAGTTTCCCTAGCTTTTGCATTCACATGCACACGACCAAAAGTCAAAAAAGTTTGCCAAGCCAGACAAACACTAGATTCATACAAAGCACAATACATATACGTTGGAAAATGTTGCATGGAAAACAAAAAAAAAATCTACACACACGCAAGATCTATTCATGAAGATGCATAGCAACGAAAGGGGAGAGTGTGTCTACGTACCCTCGTAGACCGTAAGCGGAAGCGTTTAACAACGCGGTTGATGTAGTCGAACTTCTTAGCGCTTCAACCGATCAAGTACCGAACGTACGGCACCTCCGCTTCTGCACACGTTCAGCTCGGTGACATCCTCCGCCTTCTTGATCCAGCAAAACGGCGAGGTAGTGGATGAGTTCCGGTAGCACGACGGCGTGATGACGGTGATGATGAAGTGATCTCCGAAAGGCTTCGCCTAAGCACTACGAAAATATGATCGAGGGTGTAAACGGTGAAGGGGCGCCGCACACGGCTAAGTAATTGTTCTGGGTGTGCTAGGCGCCCCCCTCCCACATATATGTAGGTGGGAGGGAGAGGGGAGAGGCCAAGGGGCGCCCCAAGTAGGTTTGAATCCTACTTGGTCTCCTGCCCTTTCCCCCCTCCCTCCTGCCATATTTGTCGGAGGAGGGGAGGAAAGAGGGAGAGGAAGGAAGGGGAGGCCGAATCCTCCTCCCTTCTCTTTCCCCACTTGGGCGGCTGCCATGGGGGTGCGCCAGCCCCTTGTGGGCTGGTGTGCTCCCCTCTAATGGCCCAAAAGGCCCACTAACCTTCCGGGGTGTCCGGTACCCCCTCCGGTACTCCGATGACTACCCGATACACTCTGAAACACTTCTAGTGTCTGAATATCATCGTCCTATATATCAATCTTTACATCTCGACCATTTTAAGACTCCTCGTCATGTCAGTGATCTTATCCGAGACTCCGAACAACATTCGGTCACTGTCGTGGAATTGTCACGGCAGATGTCCTAGCAAAAGGACTTAGTCGTAGGGCCATCGCAACTAGGAAGCTTAAAGGGGTTAATCGGGACAAACGTCACGAGAGGTTTTATACTAGTTCGGCCCCTTACGATGAAGGTAAAAGCCTATGTCTAGTTGTGTTGGAATTGCTGGCGTTTCGATCACCAAGAGGCTAATCCGCCGGCTTGGTTATTGATCTCTTGTTTCTTGCCCTAAGCCGCCACCGGGTCGTCCCCTTATATACACGGATTGACGCCTGGCGGCCTACAGAGTCCCGGTCGGTTTACAAAACGTGTCCGGCTCGGTGACTTCTTTGTATGCCTTTCTTTACAAGTCTTTCTTTACATACGGCGGTTTACACTATTGGGCCTTAAGCCGCCCCTGGGCTTAAGCCTTCTACAAGTCTTAATAAACTGTAGCCTTGAATACTATTGGGCTTCTTTTGTAACCCGTCGTTGGGGTTGACCCGGCCCCTCCCGGGCGGGTCTTACCTAGTAGCTATATTCCCAACATTAGGCCCCAGGTTGACTTTGAACTTTGTTCCTGGTCAATCTTCAATACTTAGATGAAATCCATCTTCCTATCTCTGTAAAAATTCTGTAACCCGCCATGACGTCATCTTCTGAAAACTCAAAAAACTGTTATGACGTCATCCTCAACGGATCTTTATCTTTTAATGTCTTCCGAGAATCGAGGCGCCCGTTTAGTTGGATAGTCTTTATTTGGGTCTTCCTCGATTTCCGTGCCCGCCTGTTTGCTTATCCCCTTATAAATAGGCATGCCCCGGTCTTTCTCATTCTTCTCTCTTCTTTTTCTTCTTCCTCTCGCAACCCTCCCGCTGCTCGAGCTCCGCCGTCATCGCGCTTCACCTCTGTCTCCGTCGACCTTGGCCGCTGCATCAACCCGAATCGGTCCAGAGAACGGCGGCGACCTCCGCAGAAGATCTGTGGTTGTAAGTGCTCACCTTCCTGCTCCTCAGATCCGCATTAGGGTTTCTAGGTTTCTGCGTGTTCTTCATAGTTCATCACGGTTTCCTTGTAGTTCTTCCACTACAGCTTCTTCTTGATCCAAAGAGAACATGTGTTCATGCGGTAGTTGTTTTGTGCCCATCCTCGGTACCAACAAATCCCTTTCTCTGGTTCAAAGGCCTCATTAGAGCTCATGAACTCATCTGTGCTAGATTTTTAGGTCTAGAATATTTTCCATTTTGAACGACCCTTTGATCCAGAATAATATCAAGAATTTAGGAAACTTGTTTGCTTCAACACTTAGCCAATTCTGTCTCTGATTCCCTTCAAATGTCTGTAGTCATGGCGGCTTACAACGCCGGCTTACTTTTCCCTTATATAACATTAGCCCTTACTTAAGCTGCCATTACCTATTTGCACCATCATCATTTAACTGTTAATTTCACCATTGAATTGAACCAGAACGTTACTTTCTTTTCAGTTCGTCTTTTGATCATCATGCCGTCAAAAGTTCTGACCGTCTGCAACTGGGTCCCTTCCACAATAACTGAGGACAATCTGAAGGAATTCTTCACCATAGGTTTTTTGCCAGGGAAGAATGTTATGTCTTACCATGCACCTGACCCGGACGAGGAACGACCCAATCCCAAAGATGGTGAAGTCATTGTATTTTCTAACCACATGAATCGAGGCTTTTCACCACCCGGCTCAAAGTTCTTCAGAGATGTTCTCCATTTTTTCAAACTCCACCCTCAAGATCTCAGGCCCAATTCCATATCTAATATCTGCAACTTCCAAGTTCTCTGTCAGGTGTACCTTCAAGAAGAACCGACTGTGGAACTCTTTAGAGAGTATTTTTATCTGAACCGCCAGAACGAGTGTACCAATGGCTCTAGTTTGGAACTTGGAGGCATCTCAATTCAGTGCCGACAGGGCGCCGTCTTCCCCCTAATAGTCTTGTCGAGTCACCCAAAGACTGGAATCAGACCTGGTTCTACTGTCAAGACACTTCAGCAGCCAATGAGAAACCATTGTCGGGTTATCGTGCGGATCGTCTAGATTCCAAGTTTGCGCTCCCTAACAAGCTTACTGCCGCCAAACGCAAAAACCTCATTCCATCAATTAAAAGGATTAACGCCTTACTGGGGAACGACTTAGCCGGAGTTGATTTGACTCGTTGCTGGGTCATGTGGCGGGTCATCCCTCTAAGTCGCCGATCCAAATTGATGTATGAATATGGTGGAGGTCCAGATGACTCTCTTCGTCACAGCTCCATTCAACTAACTGAAGAAGATATTGTTTCAATGTCAACCCTTCTGGTGAACGGCAAATATGAAGACTGCAATAAAGTTGGGTTAAACCCCTTCTGCAAACTTAACCCGGCGCTAGAGGTAAAAACTCCTAATCTCTTTCTCTTTGTATTTTCCTCAGCAGTTTTAAATGCTTGCCTGACCTTCCGTCTTGTTTTACTTGTTTACAGGCCAAATCTGACTTCTGGAAAGCCAAGTATGATCATGAAGCCGCCAAGAAGGCCAGAGCCGCCACCATAACCACCAAGAAGACGACCCGGAGGTCCAAGAAGAAAAAGAGCACTATCGAGGACCTGTTGAAGCTTGACGATGATTCTGAGTCGGAGGTAGCCCTTGACTCCTTTGGCCAGTTTTTTAATAACCTTATTAACACTGACTATTGCCAGGATGACACGGGGGCTAGTCAGGTCGTAGAAGAAGAGGTAACTATTTCCTCCGACTCAGCCCATTTGCCAAGACAAAAAGTTTGACTAGTAACCCGAAAAGTAAGGTTTTCGCACCCTTTAGCTTATTTGGACCCTCATTTTCTTTTGAAAAACAGCAACATGAGAGCCGCCTTCAGGCCCGGAACGACGATGAACCGCCTTCCATTGTACAACAAACTCCTCAAAAACATTAGAATGAGGTCTCTTTTGACTTTATCTTCTGCTTTTATTATTGAGTCTATTCTCTTGCATTACTAACTTTATTTTACCTTTGCAGGAGGTTTCTCGCTCTTCTGGCGACTCATCTCAGACTCAATTTCCGGCCTTCAAGACTGCCCCTGGATAAGGAAGAATTCATTTTTCCTCCGTGTCTTTCAAACTGCATCTTTATACCAACTGTCTCATAACCTCTTTCTTAGTGGTCAAGCCAAGTCCAAGAAGGCCAAGGTGACTAAGCCGGCGGAAGACCCGTTAGTTCTTGCACCTGAACCGGCCATGCCAACTTCTCCCCCTCGAACTGAAGCACCAGAAGACCCGGCTGCCAATGCTCAATTGGATCCTCCTGAGTCGTCAGCTGATGATACCGTTGTTAACCCCTCTACTGCCGGACCATCCAGCTCGGCCAACCCACCATCATCGTCTGACCATGACGTTCTGATCACTGAAAGCCGTTTTGTTGAGCCGGGGACTCCCACCGTGTTA